ATATAGATTTTTTTCGCTATGAATTTTTAAAAAATTATAATCTAAGAAGCGCCAAGTGGATTAAATATCCATCTCGAACCAGCTGACCATGGCTTCCAAACTAACATTAGAATCGATCCAGACAAGTGTGTTTCTGGAGCTGGAGCAGTGGGGCGCGAACTGAGTGAGTGAGTGAGCGAGTATGTGTGTATATGTATGTATGTATATATATATATATAAAATAGCAAAATATTGATACTGATACTACTAGGAAAAATGTCTGTTACATGAGTTTGTCATCAATGATTTGTTGTTTATTGACAATGCTTTTGATTCAATCAACTGTCTCAAAAGCATCTTGTGTTATGAATGACTTATTTACTGTGATTCAAAATATTGTAATTCCTCTTTTCTTCAAAAAAAAAAAAAAATGACTTCCTAATACAATATTTTGCCATACAGCATACTGTGTCTGTTTAAAAAACAATTATGCTATCCATTGCTGAAAACAAAATCTTAATATTCAAACTCCTTTGCTAACTTTTAATATTGATCCATAAATTGGACATCTAACACTTTGAACTCATTTGAAACAGTTGTATTAATGCTTTGTCAACACTTTAATAATACATTTTCTAACTTTTTAGTAGCCAGGATGTTATTCTACAGTGCATTTAATGGACATTCATATTATATCATGATGTTGATACCATTGAAGACAAGTTAAATTTTCTGCATATTACCACATTTTCTAATCTGTACTTGAATTTTTGAACAATTTCAACTTTTATCATGAATCGAGAATACTTTGTTTTGTTAGATGACATAATTATTGTGAAAAAAGACTGAAAAGCAAAGGATAAATATAAAAGTAATTCATAAATAAGATCATAAAACACTTTTATTATAGTTTTGATATATCAATAGATAGTTCATCCAGTGATAATGATTTTTTTTCCATTCCTTTATGTACTACACAGGACAAAAATTTGCTTACTACTGATATATCCAAGTAGTAAACTCCTTATGACTAAATATTTACATGAAAATGTGTCTTAACCGAAAGCAAAATAAAGATTTGCTTCCAACTGTGAACTCATTTGTTATAACTGAATTCAACTGTGTATGATTTCTAACTATGAAAAGCTATATCTCCTATTTTAATGTATCAAAAATAACTAGATCCATCATCTAACAAACTACAATTTCTTGAACAAATGACTTTAAACTTGTTTTAAACATTTATAATTTTTGTATAAAATTTAGAATACAAAATAAAACTTTATAAAAATTTACTTGTCCTATACAAAGTCTATTTTTATAAATTTTATATTTTTAAAAAAATATTTTCTAGTCAACAATAAATTTAACTCAAGTTAACTAATCTATAATTTTTTTTATATTAACTAATAATGGAATCAAGTTAACAGTTTTAATCAATAAATGAAAATTTAAATTTATGACTACAGATAAAAATTAAGTTTAAATCAAAAACAAGATGTCCAAGAAAACCAAAGTTCAGAGTTACAAATATTAATTGTCATTCAAAGTAAAAAGATATACTCTGTTAATGTTATCTAACTATTATTATGAATAACTCACATCATCATGTTGTGCTTTAATACAAAGATATCCTGGATGATGATCCATTTCCGTGCGCAAGGGAGTAGGTGGATGGACGCAGACATTATTTTTACAATAAATAACTTCTCCGTGAAGATTACAAGATTTTATTGAAGATTCTTGGCCACTGATTCTAAGAATATTTGATGCTTTCTTAATTAAGATATTAAGTGTAGCCATAGTTCAATTATATTTTACAGAAAACCTAAATTTATCAAAAATAAACAATTAAACTTAGAAACATTATGCATTTAAATATCAAAATAAATTAATTCATATTACAGCAATATTTCTAATATTTAATAAAAAACACAATACGTTAAAATTTTTAGTTTATTAAGAATTAAAAATTTCATTAATTATTATAAATGTATTTTTAATATGTTTAAACTTATAAAGAAACTTGTAAAGATTTTTAAAATTAATGCAACATCCATACTAAACATCAAAATTTAAGATACTATATAGCTTCTAAACTACATAAAAAACATGCATGAAATTATAATGTATATTTTATATGAAAGTTGCCTGTAGTATCATATAGTTAAAGATGTATAAAGAAATAAAAATATCCAATATGTTAAATATATAAATGGTTAATGCAAAACTTAAATATTTGTTTATGTAATATGAAAAACTATGATAATTTTTTTTATGGAAATAGAAGTTATAAAGTGGTGATTCAAGTTGATAATAAAATTATTGATCAATGCTATTAATAACTGTTCACTTTTAAGTCTTTACAACTCTAAATGGGGGAATTATGAATTATTATATATTTTTATAGGTCATCTCACGTATATTGTACTAACTTTGTCACAAAATCTGTCCCTTCAAAATACTGTATGGCATAAGCTTATGGCATTTCATGAATATACTACTGACCCATCAAGGATCTAATTTTAGACAATTGAAAATGCTTATTACACAATTTCTTAAACTAATGCATCATTAACTTGTAAAGTGAAGAGATCATTACGTCATAATGATCTTTTGCTGACATTAGAGAGAAATAATGCATTCAGATTTTCTCTATCAAAACTTTTCTGCAGAAATTTTTACAGAATCCTTTTTGAAAAAATTCATACATAACATTTCATGTTATGATAATAAATCTAAAAATATTCTAGAGAGATATTTATGATCCTGAATATATTAATTTATACCTGGTTTGCATCATCATGTAACTTCTATCAATTATATTGAAGAAGTGAGATATTTTTGACGTAATTTAAAATTTTTCTAACCAAACTGTTTGATAGACATAGTTAAAATGTAAATTAGAGAGAATTCATCAGAAAGAATAATACAATCAATTTTTCATTCTGCATCTTATATACTAAAGACAATTTTTAGTTGATTTTATTTAATATGTATATATTTTATTTATTATTACTACAGTATATATAGTGGTCAAAACAAATAGGAAAGCAATATAAGTTGCATAGAGAATCATTTACAACAAACAATTCTGAATGTCAGATGTTATTGTTATGTAAGATACAGTAATTGAGCTGAACTGCTGCCATATTTTCATTTATTGCACTGGCTTGCACATTTCTGCCAAAGTGACATACTCTCCTAATTGTTTTGACCAGTGTATGTATATATATCTGGCATAAACATTCAAAGCATGTTTTATCACAAAATAATCAAATATGAATTAATCACTGTAAAGTCTACTACTAAGTAATTTACACACAAAATATATATTTTCACTTAAAATGCATTTTATACCATTAAAAATAGATGTATAAATTAAAAATTCAATCAAATAGTGATTTGTTCATAGCATGTTTTGTTCAACCAGACAATCAGAACAACTTAAAAGTGGTGTTTGGAGTCGTACCCACATTGTTATTTCTAGATCATGTTTTACTTGTGTTGTTTTAATTATTGAGTTTATTATACCTCTTCATAGAACACACATTTCTCAACACAATGCTTTTTGCTGATGTTCTTACAAGGAAACTTAATACAGATATCTCAAAAATGCAATCTAATATCTTTAACAACACAATATGCAAAAAATGTCTTAAGTTACAATCCAAATATAACTAATTAGAATGTTAATGTGTGTAGAAGTTTAGAAAAGTACCTTGAGCATCAAGAAATGGATTATAAATCTTAAATAAAACTGATGCTGAAAAGGGTATCATATATCAACATCTACAGCAGAAAGTCTAAACATACTTTCATAACATCACTAATAGAGCAATCAATTCTCCAATTTACATTTAAATTAAAGAATTGATTGTCGTCATGAATAATGTCAGAGACATTATTAGAGTTGCAATTTATTCTATTTTTATTGAAATTTCTTGTTCTCCATTTTTTAAAACATTGCTCTTTCTTAATGTATACTATTTTCTCTGCCTTATCATAACTATAATGTGATATAACATGCAGATTATACTAAAAACTGTTAACAGCTATATTAAGTGTTTAGTGATCAGTAAGTTATTAAGCAGTCTATCCTAATATGACTAACTTTTATACAAGCATTGTATAAAAGTTACAAACATGTTTTAGTTACTTTTTTGATATTGGGTGTTTTGGGTTGACATTGCATATGTTTTCTCGTATAAAATAATAGGAAATAGGCTTCTGGTTAATATTTTTCTGCAGAACATGCAATCTCCAGTAATGGATTACTGACATTCAGTGACATGGTTATCATTTTATTAGATAAAATGACTAAATTTTCTATCAGCAGAAATTATCATCATTCATCAAGGATCATAGATAGGAACATAATATGTTATATATTTTAATAATATGAATAAATGTTAATATTTTTATGGTATATAAATAAAAATTTACTTAGAATCTAATTATCTGGGAAACTGCATCAGCATTCGGGAACATCAATCATTTCAAGAGATTTCAAAGCTCTTAACACATAAACGTATGCCATTACAATATAGTCATCAAGCTGTCAAAGTTTTAAACAACAAAAACACGTTCGGCAATCAAATTCTAATCCACAATAAGCGACAAAGGAAGTGTTTCCCAATAAAGCGGCTTTAATGCAACCGGGTACAAAACAGTCCATTTCGTCGGAAACAAACTGTCGCCTGTTTGTTTACTCAGCTGTATTAAAGCCACTTTATCAGTTGACAAGCTTAAAGCTCTTACTGCATAAACATTAAACCAAACTGAGATTGTAATTCTCTGTTATTTCACTGAATTCACTGTTATTTGTATGCAACATGGCAGGGAAGAAAAATAACATAGAAACTAATGAATATTTATTTACTCTTGTAACATATACCCAATTTTACTGCGTGCAAATCAAAATATTCGATTATTTTTAATTAAATCAAGTATTTTTTGCTACATTCTACTATATGAATAAACATTCAAAATAAATAACGTAAGGAAATTATAGAAATTGTATAGAAATAATATATTTAAGTTGAAGTTAATGGCAGAACATATTGAATAGCGTGTAAAGTTTAAAAACTACCTTTCGGCAAATTTAACGATATTGAAATAACATATTCCGTGAAATCTAAGTTAAAATAAACTATTATAAAACTTCTGTTGAAAAATATGCAACTTTCTAATAAATCAAGCAGCCGACAATACCTCGAAAACAACTCTTCCTTCGCCGACATTTTCCCCCTAGTGACAAAAAAAACAAGAGTTTAATTTTAATATTAATTACTTTTAAATTCTGATATTAAAATTACATAATTACATTATATAATAATTTCATTCAAAAATAAAAACTTAAAGCGTATATTAGTTTAAAAAATGGATGTAGTTAAAAAAAAATAAAAAAGGGNGTAATCGCGTTAAAATGTTCCTGAGTCTTAAAAATACAAGTGATTATATTACCTGTGGTTTTTTAACAAATGATAGTTAGAGGCTATAAAAGATACTTTTTTATAAGATTAGTTTCTTAAGAATAAGAAAAAAAAATATCTTTGGTATAAACTTACAATATGGTAAATTTTTGTATTGTTAAAATAAGCATACACCAAAATTTGTAACAATTTTGTGATCTCTTGTAATAATTAAGTAAAGAAAATTATATAAATAAATAAAAGTTGATTATACTAAAGAAGGGTTTCATTTAGCATTTATGCCCTTTTGAACTGTCACATTGTTAAACTTGCTCTCTAAAGGCAAATTTTGCTTGGGGGCCGCGCAGCCCCCATGAAACCAGTTACGTTTGAAAAATTTACGATACCAGTTAAGGGTTAAGCACCAAAATTTAATAGCACCAATCCCCCTAATACACAAATCTCCCTGATAAATTTCAGAAATTTTCGACAAAAAGAACATAATTATTAAAGTAAAATTTAAATGATTTAATTAATTAACGTATCCTACTATAATACGCTTCTTGTCTAATTTAAAATGAGTGATCTCTATAATAGCATCTTTATTTCTAGACTTATTATACCGTCATCAGACCCAAGACCAGTCTCAATTTATCAATTTATTTTTAAAAGTATGCATTTTGGACTTACAGTCTTTCCTCATCTTTTTTACAACTAATTAAACATAAAAACATGTAAGTTAAACATTAACACTTCTAGCAGTGTTAAGATACAGTTAATAAAAAAGTAAGTTAAACCGCTAGTTAAAAAAGTAAGTTAAACCGCCATTAACACTGCTAGCAGTGTTAATGGCGGTTTAACTTACTTTTTTATTAACGTACAGTATCTTATAAGTACTATATGTTGATTTATTTAATAGAAAGTTACATAAATTGGAAAATTAAATATAATTGACTCTCTCATCTTGAAGGCCTATAATTTATCAAGTAACTTTTAATTAAAGGTTGTTGCCGTTGGATAAGTGTTGCCAGATAAATAGAGGTTGATCTGGCAACACTTAAATCAGAAGCGTAAGAAGGTTACTAGATACTCGTGTTTACGTTCGTAAAAGATAAGTCTGCATCGAGAGTGAATTATTATGCATTTGCATAAAAGAAGTGATAAGTAGACAGTAATAATGCAGGTTAACCGTAATTTTTATCCCATAGTTTATCGTTTATTGACATGTAACAGTTTAGTTAAAATTAGGCAGAATTTGCTTCCGAGCAGAAACTTTGTTTTGTCAGCAACTTTAAAAGACTGTTTTACAGTTCAAGACGAAAATGACTTTAAAGAAAAAGTACTTAAAAGTGAAATACCCGTTATAGTGGATTTCCAAGCCACGTGGGTTTATTTTAAATTAATTTTAATATAATTAAATATATTGTTATTTCAATCTAATATAATTTTAATTAAGAGACGTTATAATATGAACGAGCAATTATTTATTGTGATATCGTCACAATGCCGGACTGCAATTTTTAGTCATATTTTAAATTTATTTCATTTAAAATATATGCTCTCCACCTCAAATTAGTAATGTTTTGCTCCTGTACATCATACTTTTCCTGTTAGGATAGTCATGCTTGTCATCTATCTAATATCTTAAAGGGGAAAATTTTTGAATTGAAATAACGTGACTTCTGGTTTGCATCAGAAGTTCTTATATAGTTACTCGGGCCTCCTGCCCCTAAGGTTTCCATACCTAGTTTTGTCTTTCATCTATCTAACTCTGTTCTTGAGATTAAGGGAAGATGGACAAATGGATGACAGTGGGAGTTTATAGGTTTACCAGTTTTTCAAATTGAGCCCAATAAAAATATCTCTGTTTACAATGAGGTATAATGTAAGATATGATTGCAGATGTGAGTGACACTGCTGGGACTCTAACAAAGCTGTAGAGCATGCCCACAGGAGCAAAAGACATGCCCAGCATGGAAGTCAGACATAATAACAATATTTATTAGTAAAGAATAAAGAAAAGTTCAATGTGTGACCTGGTGTTAGATATTTGCCTTCAAATGTGGAATCCCAATGGTGGCAGTTTCAGTTGCTATCTTGCTTGTGGATGTCATGTATTTTATGTGAAAAGTGGCAATAGCATCAGAGAACATTTTTATTTACCATATTTGCATTTTATTGTGGAGGCAATAGCCTCAAAAGAAAGGTTGTTTCTATACTTGTGAAATTGTGGACTGTCAACTGGAGCAAACGATGGATGATTAACGGATTATTTTCTTTGTTAAATGTTGCAATTTTATATTTTGTTTATACTTTTAAGTGTAAAATAATTAAATGATTTACTCTGTTTTAATAAAAGTGGGGAAATTAGATTTATCAGCAATATTGTTCAGAAAGGTAATCTTGCACATTTCTATAATAAATGGAAATTATTACATGATAAAGTGTTGTAACTGGTGAAAGTGGATAAGTAGTGCAGGATATTAGGCTCTAGTTAGTTTCTTGTCAACATTTTTGAAATGTCTATGTAGAAAAAGGATCAAAAGTAATGATAAAAAAATTCCAACCAAATGATTGCCAGATTAGATGGGCTGTATTTGATTTTAATACAACTATAAGACACTCAGATGTTTTATATTTGTAGAAAAATTCCATTTTAAAGCTAATTAAAGAAGCTAAAATATTTAAAAAACTTTCTGAACTAATTGGAAGATGCTTTACCAATATTCAGTTTATCATAAGGTTCAAAAAAATCCAAAACTTTACATAATTTACAGTGCAGTGACAGACCACCAAGGCTTTGATTGAGAAAAATGAGCAATCCTTAAAGATGTTAAGATTTATCATAATTTATCTATTATGTAAATATGTATTGATGTTTGAAATTAATTTGAAAAACAAGTCAATTCAGAAATAAGTCAGAGATTATATTTAGAAAAAAATACTAATTTTTCCAGTAAATGAAAATAATAAACTTTCCAAATCAACACAAAACAATTGTAAATTTTTTGAGATCAAATTTTTTTTTAAGTGATGAATGTAGATTTAACATCTTTGACTAGGGATTAGAAAAGATGCTGAGAAAGTCCAGAAGTGATATTGAAATAAAGCTTTTATGACCTACAGTTAAATATGATGAGGATCAATTTTAATTTGGTGATGGACGTCTGCATCTTGTATTGGAAATTTAGATATTGAATTCAATGATAGTTGGAGATTATATATAGATAGCATGAAAAATAATTTGAGTGCTAAGATATAGATAGGATATATGTATATAAAAGTATTATTGATAGAAAGTTTGTTTTTTGGTATGACTGACCCAAAAGCATATTGTTTGGGAAACTAGAATATGATTGCTCTATATTGTCTTTCTACAGCTACCCCAATCACAGAGATCTTAATCTGATACATATTTATGGACTAATTTGAAAAGCTGAATTTGAAATCAGTATATTTCTAGTAAAGAAGTAATTAAAGATATTTTTAAGAATGGAATTGAAAAATATTCCAATGAAAATTATTAAAAACATTTTTTTTCAAGACAAAACAATATCAGACCATTATTAAATGTAATAGTTATCCTCCTAGATATTAAACTTTGAGTACACTAATCAATTTAATTTGTCATTCTATTGAAAAAATATGTAGTGTAGGAATACTTTAGTGAGTGCAGTTACTAAGAAACATTTTTTTATTTAATAGAAAATAAACTGTGTTTATATAATTTCTGGTTATGAAAGTGTGTAATAATCTAGGCTTTTCATATAAATCTAAATTAATATTTTGATGATTTCATAGAAAATAAGTGCTTATATTGATAGAATAAAGCTGTGTGAATACTTTTGTGAGTCGTCATATTTAACAGAGAAGTCAGAGAGAATATATAAGTTTATTGTAGATTTTATATATATATATATATATATGTTAAGTCTACCTTTTGTGTATATATAATAATTTAAGCAATATTTTTATAAATGATAATTTCCTAATTTTATTTTACATAAAATCAAAATGTTATGAAAAATAATTATGTAGAATCTTTATATGGATAGAACATTCTCATAGATCATTTTGTCATATAAACAACATACTGTATTTGTCAAGGAAGCTCTTCTTATAATTCAATCCAAATTATTTTATCCAAAGTCAAATTTTTTTATTGAGTTGTAACGTAAGTAAATACTCTGTGAAAATATACTTTTATAAACATACACATTTTGATTTAATGAATGATTAGCAAACTGGATTAAGATACACACAAATTGTAGTATTACATGTTGACTTTGCAGGAAAATAATTTTACTAGCAAACATTAATGTTTTTGATCATGTTAAATGATCTTGTGGTTTATGCTGTGGAATGGCCAATGCATCTGACTTGCTGTCAGTACAATTTGTTGTAGATATTAATAAGCAAGGTAAAATATACTATTGAATTCAAATACTCAAAATTGGGTATACATTAATTAATAGACACTGCATATAACCAGTATCCAGCAGGAAGAAACTGCAAGAAAGCAAATGTTTTAATGTGTTTAATGGGTATCATCAAGCATTATCCCATTAAACACAGATGGAAACATTTGCTTTCTTGTAGTTTCTACTTGCTGGATATTGGTTGTGTGTGCAATGTCTATATACTGTTGAACAATATACCAAGTCTAATTTAGAAATATATTATATAATGCATTATATCCAATAAATAATACCTCTGCTAGTTATTTTTTTATGCTATCATAATGATATTTATCAGTAAAGAATAAAGAAAAGTTCAATGTGTGACCTGGTGTTAGATATTTGCCTTCAAATGTGGAATCCCAATGGTGGCAGTTTCAGTTGCTATCTTGCTTGTGGATGTCATGTATTTTATGTGAAAAGTGGCAATAGCATCAGAGAACATTTTTATTTACCATATTTGCATTTTATTGTGGAGGCAATAGCCTCAAAAGAAAGGTTGTTTCTATACTTGTGAAATTGTGGACTGTCAACTGGAGCAAACGATGGATGATTAACGGATTATTTTCTTTGTTAAATGTTGCAATTTTATATTTTGTTTATACTTTTAAGTGTAAAATAATTAAATGATTTACTCTGTTTTAATAAAAGTGGGGAAATTAGATTTATCAGCAATATTGTTCAGAAAGGTAATCTTGCACATTTCTATAATAAANATTAAAAAAAAAATTTACCAAATTTAATACTTTATCATCATCCTAATACATTTTAAAAGTATACTACTATGTCTCTGAACTGGTTAATAAATGTCATTTTTACAAATTAACTTTTCATTTCTTAATAATCTTTTAGCATAGCCAGGGCTATTTTAAATAACTGTTTTTATTTTATTTATTTATATGCTATTTTAAATAATTATTGTTTCATTTGTACAGCTTAATTTTCAACAGAACTAGTATCAGTTTGTATTATTTTAATTTTTTTTAGTTATTGTTACAAATGCTTCAATAAAGCAAGTACTGTGGTTGATTATTTTCTATTTATCAAGTTACAAAGAAGTATTTAGTTTTACAGATTTTATTGTATGTAGTATTGGTGGTAGTACTAGTAGTCCTTTTATTCAATATTCTTTTAAATGTTAAATTAAAATATTTAAACTAATTGAATGAACAAATGTTAAAAATCTTTTCTTAATCTTTCATGTAATAAACTTATGCTACAAGTCCTAAATTTGAATATTTGATTCTTTAATTTGATTTTCTAAAACTAGTTAGTCAAAATTACAATTGTTTTTAATTTTTTTATTCAAATATCTTTGTTTAGATGTAGCCTTAGTTGTTATTGGGTAGCTACACCTAAGTGTATATTCAATTTTATTTTAAAATTTTTATTGCATTTACGTTCTTTAATATTTAAAAAAAACTTTTTTCAGACTATCCAATTTGAATGTTAAATTTGAAAATTAATAAAGAAGGATGTGAAATGCATTTTGCCAGAATATTCTTTAACAAACTTTATTATCTACATATATAAAATTACTTGTCATGACTTACTGATTGATTCATCACCACCCAGAGCAAACCAATGAACCTGAAGTGGTGAAATTTGGTACACAGTTAGGGTACGTCATAAAAACGCACACTAAGAATGGCTTTTATTGTACTATTTTAGATGCAATTTTTTGTTTTTTAACTGCGTTTTAGTAGGGTATACTATGAGAATGCATACTAAGAAGGGATTTTTTGAAATTTCCCCACGAGGGAGAGCATTAAGGTTTAACTTGAAGAAAAGCTTCTACTGTACTATTTTAGATGCAAGTTTTTTGTTTTCAACTATATTTAGTCTTCATTGAGTACTTAGATGTATTAAATTGATAACATTTCAGATATTGTTATAAATATTTTTATATATTTTGATTTTTCAATCAAATGTTCGAACTGTTTTAAATTTGAATTTGTCATTGCATATTGATTCGATTATAGAACGATTGTAAACATTCCAGAAAATTGATCAAATTAAAAACAGTTCATTTGATTCTCAGCAGTAGGTGTTATATAACAATTACTATGATTGTTGAAATACTGAATATAAATGGGGTTTGCTTGCAAAATCCCTGCAGGTGAAGTTGCAGGTAACAGCTTATATTTCCAAGTTTTATAAGATTAACACTGCAAAATATATTAAAATAATAAACTGAAGAAAACATTTTATAATCAGCAAAATTATTGTTAACATTGACAGTGAAAAACAATAAATTATACCATTTTAAATTATAATTATTTTTATTACTTTATATTTTGTTACATTTTTCAGGCTAGTTCACACAGAGTGATTATGATTTATATGATCTGATTCTAAAATATGATGTTACAATGCAAAAGAATAACGATTACATGTTAAAACTTAAAATTCTTATTTTTTTCAGATGGTGTGGCCCTTGCAAAACTTTGGGACCAAGACTAGAAGGCATAATTGCAACAAAAAATGATAAAGTGCATTTGGCAAAAGTAGACATTGATGATAATAGTGATCTGGCAATAGAATATGGGGTATGTAATTTTAAAATATTTGTTTGAGATTCTACAAATGCAATTATTAAATCTATAACTCAAAATTTCATTGTCTGTTATTTATCACACTTCGATTAATTTTTCAGGTTAGTGCTGTTCCTTCTGTATTTGGAATAAAGAATGGCAAAGTTATAGATAAATTTGTTGGTGTATTGGAAGATGACAAAATTAATAGTTTTGTTGACAAATTAATTGGTCCAGCTTAAACAACAGCAGAAGTATATGAAATAAAATTGCAGTTTAAAACTGGTGGTTAATAAATTATTTCAAATTTATAATAGAATAAAATGTATTTTTAATGAAATTTTTATTGTAGTATTTTTCAAAATAAATTTCACATGTTCTGTAAATTGAACTTACATCTTATTAATTTTATATGTTAATTTCTTTGTAAAGAATAGATGATATAGTTTACTCATTCAAATTTTATCACCTTATGCTTTTAGAATTTGAAAAGATTTTATACACTTGACATTTACAGTTTTATACACCTAAATGTAAGGTGTATAAAAGTGTTATAATTTTTGAACAACAATTTTTTAATGAAAATTATAAAATGAAACAAATGATTTACTACTTATAATCACATGAACATGATATGAGTAGTAAACAGATTTGGATGTTCCATTTCAAAACCAAACACCACTGAAAGAAAGCTTGTTTGTTTTAAATGTTCAAAAAACTCCAGTAAAGAGTTGTGTAATTTTCTCCATAAAAATATTTGTTTAACAAACATTTAAAACATTACAACGAAATTAAAACTGTGGCACCGCATATTATGTGATATTACTGAAAACAATTTTATGTAAATTTCTATCAAAATCAAAAAAGTCATTTCAAAAGAAAAGATGAGTTTCTAAAAGAATTGTAAATGCCAATAATGCATAAAATTTCCTATAATTCAAACATCATTGAAGGATATGACCATGCTATAGCTCCAACTCAATGTAATTTTACCATAATACCATAGTATCAACCCTTAGGTGGGATGGTCAAGGTGGAAGCCTACAGCTCTGGAGGACCTGGGTTTGAATCCGAACGGTCAATAAATCCCCAGGAATTTTGCAGGGAGTGGTCCATATGGATGTGATGGGCCACATTCCTCACCACCGGGCTGCGTCAAGGGCCATACCAAACCCATATTGGCCTTGCTAAAAGAGATCCTCTTAGTGCCAACAGGATAGAGTTTAAAAAAAAAGTATCAATGCCACTTACAAGCAGTGGCGTGCGGTGACATTTGATGATAGGGAAGATGTGTTTCTATAAGAAGCCGACTTACAGGGGCAATCAGCAATGGTCTAGGGTCCATTCGTATTCGTTTGTTCGATAAGCCAGTAAAAACCGTAGACTTCTCTAAATGTATTTTTAATTAATAGATTATCTAACGCACTTAATAAATAAGCAAGTTTAATATAATTAACTCTCTTATATTAGATTTAATACATTCTATACGCCCTCTAAATGCCAATTCTCGCTTCGATAACATCTACTAATTAAAATATATCTATTAGCCGTAACTATCTTGTTATAATTTTCAATATATATTTTATATTGTGTACTAATGTTAAATTCTATTCTATTTTGATTTCCAAATTGCTTCAATTTTACGAAAGAATCGATGCGAGATTTAGGATTTTCGTGTCTTTTGCCAGCTTTACTCAAATTATTTAAATCGTCAAAGCCAATCTCATTCTACACACTAATTTTATTTGAAAATAGTAGGCAAGGCCAACAAAACAAATTTTGCATTTTTATGCATCCACAAAGCCATTTTATATCTTCATAAATTTTATCATGAAAATGTCGAACAAATTTTTTCTTTTTCATTATATGGTCTCGAGCCAAAACTTTTTGAAATAAATTTTCGATATCACAATTACATTCTAAATTGCTAGCTATAATATAAGGGCTAAAATTAAAAATAAAATTATAAAAACTTACTTGTTAAAATAAAATGTGTGATGATATACAATTATACATACCTGGTACAAAATATTCAATTGTATGAATATACTTTTAAAGAAAATTATAAATATAGTTTTGTGAAGAAACGTACATAAAAATAACATAAAATAGTCTTTACTTTTTAAATATTAAAACAATCCACCTAGTTAAAATTGCTCCCTACCAGTGGCTCGTGGATGGAATCAGAGACGGTCTTGGTAGGTGTGCGGTGCGGTGCATGCTTGCCAAATCCCGAGGGTGCCGATACCGGTTAATGTCTCTTTTGTCTCATCACTAGTATATCTCAAAGGACGCGACAGGGTTGTTGTAAATTTTAAACGTTTCTCATCATAGCTGTAAAAATCTAAATTTGTTAAACTTAAAAGTCATTTGTTTTCTAACTACTGTAATTCGTTTTAAGACCAGGTGTCCACGGAAATTTCCAAAATTTACAACTTTTACTCACTTTCATTGAACTGGAAAAATTTCTGTCTTTATTACATCTAATATTACGAAGAAATCAGTCCCACTGTACTCGGCTAGATATTGGTCCGGTTAGGCTTTTGTTTAAGTAAAATTCCGGCTCTTTCATCAGGGTTTTGTTTACGTCCCCAATTCCCTAATCGCTTAATTATTTAACTACTTCTTAAGTAGAAATAAGTCGAAACCAGTTACTTTGTACTCGAATATTTGTAGTCTCGGGAAAAAAGTGGAAAGACAAATTTTTACGACAACGGATACATAAATCGTAAATTTAAGGAAAATAAATTCTAGAGCCTTTTCTGTACCTGGTGCATCTCTCTCATTCATTAAATTTAGTTGTAAATGACGCTGTCGAAGTAACGGTTAATTTTTTAACATTATACAAGAATTGTACACGTTTTTTTCTACATCCCCTTAAAGATGGGATGTACGAAATCGTAATATCACTGGTTTAACATCGAAATCCGTGAGTAATATAAAATCGGAGAGCGGAATAAATATATCAAATATTTTAATGGATTTTTTAAACTCCTGTCAACTATACAGAACTATCGTAAAAACATACCAGTAAATTCTTATCGGTTGGGTTAAGTTATAAATCTACTCGTTATTCACGTAATCGAAATATCTAGTGGGCAGGCGGCTAACAGCCCAGAACCGGTCCTTGATAGAATTGGAATCTTTATATGTGTGCAGCTTTCACCCAAGGTCGTAGGCTTCCACCGGCTAAACCGGGTGAGGTTGGTGCTCTGTAAAGCGCATGCGCAAATCTGGCTTTTCGTAATCTGAAAATACAGGAGATTCCACTCCGCCACTAATATTCTAATATACAATAGCAATTTTTTTTCCACGTGTAGTATAGAAATTTGTAATAAGATACATAATGCGGTTATAATAAAATATTGTGCGATTATTTTCATATAATTAAAATTAATATTTATTTATTTTTTAGAGAATACGAAGGAAGCGGCGCTTCCAACGCTTCTAATGACGGCACGCCACTGCTTACAAGACACCATGACAAATTTCGTTTCTCAACTTTATCTCATCCGCAGATAAACACACAATACACACTAATAAATATCCTGATTATAAATTTTTCCATTTTTTCCGTTCCCGAAAAGAGATTTCAACAAACGAAATACTCAAATAAAAGAATACAAAATTAAGCAGCTAAAAAGAAAAAAAACAGAAAACTGATAAAGTGCTCATGACGATCGTTTGAAACACGTGTTGAACCTTTGAAACAACTTTTCCCCCCTTATTGTAACTAATGTATGAAAAAAATTAATTTAATTGATATTGTAAATACAGTGGTACCTCAGGATACGAAATTTTCAGGATACATGAAATTCGAACATATTTTTGCTCCACGGTACGAACAAAAACTCACCATACGACGTTACATTAGTTCGCAGCGCCATTTTTTATTCACTTCTGTTCATTGGTCTTAGTCCGCGTGTTTGCTTCCTCGTGGAAGGATCTCGCTCGATAAACGAAATCTTGAGGTATTATCAGAAAGTTACTGATTTTATTGAAAAGAAACATTCCGAAAAGGTTCACACTGGCCGCAGTGCCGGCCCGAGGCAAGTTTTAGGATAAAGCGAGATCCTATTATGGCGCCCCCTTGGTTGCACCAAATTTATACCCTTTAATTTTCTTTACCACTGAGACGCCCCCTAGGACTTAGTTCCTGGAGCGGATGCTCCGTTCGCCCTGTGGTAGGGCCGGCTCTGACTGGCCATATTACTGCTCAGTTTAATGACATTTGCCTAAGTCATTTTAGAAACATTTTAAAAAGTATGCAAAGCCAAACCTCTTTGGATAGATATTTTACCAAGCGACCTCTATCCAGTGAAAGTGCTGGTGGAAGTGAAGGAAAGAAAGCAAAAAGAAGTGAATAAAAAATTTAAAAAATATATAAAACAGAAAAGTTAAAAAATTAGTGTTATTTTTAAGTTATTGTTACATTATGTTATGTAAGTTAAGTTTTAGAATCATTTCCCTTCTTCCTCTCCTCCGCTACCAGTTTACACCTCTACCATCCTCAAAGGTAATATGTACATAAAACTACATTTTTTAAAAATCAATTATTATTCTATGATGGTTATTTATACACTTATAAGTACAAAACGCATTTTTCAGTGTTTTCCTTACTATAGTTATTATTTTTTTAATGTGCTACTTAGCTTTGAGTGTGTTTTTCGCGTTGGAACGAATTATTTGGGTTTACATGTAATCGTATGGGGAAAAATCATTTACCTTATGACATTTTCATGATACGATCTCAGTTTCGGAACGGATTAATTTCGTATTCTGAGGTACGACTGTATTCAAACAATAAAATTAGTCATTTACAGTTTATTTCTTCCTGCAGCAAATTCGAAGTTTTAAAATTGATACTTTCTATTATGTTCATTTCTACAAGTGTTATCAATATCCCGAACAAATTATTCCCATAAAAAATTAATAAATAATAATAACTATAACGTAATTTGATACATTTCCGTTACGATCACCCAAGGTCAGTGGCGTACCGTAGTGGGGGCGGCGGGGGAGGCCCGCCCCAGACGGCACTTTTTAGGAAGTGGCAAAATTACGTTTTATAGGGCGGCAAAATTTCACAATAAATAATAATATTATCTTGTAAAAATTTGAAACATTCTAATCTATACAGTAGAACCTCGATTATCCGGATCTCCATTATACGGATTTTCGATTATCCGGATAATGGTTCAGAATAAACAAAAATTTTACGAATTTGCTGATTTGCCCTTGGCGAATTACGACACTGTTTATGTACGTGATGAAATGCATAACATTTTTTGTTTCAACAACGTCTCACCCGGCACAGTGGTCGTAAACTCTTAAATATATTTTGCGTCGTAATAAAAATATAACTTGACATACGTATTTATAAATAATTTATACTCAAATTACATCATTTCTATAACCAATTGCGGCGTAAGGCATGGGCAACGTGGGCCACCACCTATGCCGCGCGGTCCGAAGGGCCTCGCGCCTCGAAGGTTTACGCATTACTTAGAAGCCGAGAACGCGACGAAAAAATTTTACTCGTCATAAAACGATAAATAGTTTGTCAAACTTTTATTCATAAAAATGCAGTTTTAACTGCGTTTTATTTTATAAAATCCGTATTTTTGACCCGCCAGAGGGCCTTTTAAACAATAGGTAGTCTGTTAGCGCTGGTCAGTAGTAGTCCAAATTCAATAAAACATTTGTTTCTTGAAAATTTGATCACAATTTAAATACAGTATTTATTTTTAATATTACCGATATGTCATCGAAAAGAAAACGTGTTGTATTATCATTAAAAGACAAATTAAAGTATTTGTTTCGATTATCCGGATTTTTCCTTATCCGGACTACCTTCATCCCCAATTAGTCCGGATAATCGAGGTTCTACTGTACTTGCATCTCGCCTACGATAGTGCTATCGTCCGAACAGCCAGGGAATCGGCTCGCCGTCCGAATGAACTAGTAACTTATTTATCAAAGGAAATCTTGTTGACTTTGTTTTTCCTTGTACGATTCATTCGCGTTCATATACACCACTAATATCCAGTAAAACTATTTTAAACAGGTCGCTGCACTACCACCGAAATTTTCATTGCTTATTCTGTGACGTAACTAAATTTTGGTCTATTAAATTAAAATATCTAAATAAAAAAAAGTCGATACTTTCCTCCGCTCTAAGCAGCTAACACACACAGTACGACACTGCCCAAAATGATCTTACGTAAAATTTGGCATTTTTATTCACATTGTGTATTGTTAATTTCGGTAAATTACCATCGACTTGCTAATGCGAAGTACAGTACTACGCTGTACTACGCAATTATGAAGTCAGATATGACTGCAAGACGCAATTTAAATCGGGTAGTCATCGGCGAAAGCGAAGAGCGATGTGCAGTAAAGTGGGATTTACAGGAGAGGTTTGGAGTTGTGTGAAAAGGCATATAATACGACGCCACCGTCGTTGCTCTCAACGGGCCAGTGGATAGAGCTGCTCTATGATTATAATCCACTTGACGCTTGCAAAGTATCGAATGGCCAATGGAATGAAACGCACGAATAGGCGCGATAAGACAGTCGGTAACAGGCAATGGCCATACCACGCTGAAAGTACCGGTTCTCGTCCGATCACCGAAGTGAAGCGGCGTCAAGCACGGATAGTACTTCGGACAAAGACGACTTGGGAACACCGGGTGCTGTTGCCACTTCTGTTTTGCTCCGTTTTCTGTTTTATCTAATGCCAAAGTGAGCGTTCTGTTCTCTTATTTTTTCTTACTATCGTTTCTTCCATAAGATCTCATTACTGTCGTATTTAGATTAAACGCTTATACCCCGTGTTTCCCCGAAAATAAGACAGTGTCTTATATTAATTTTTGCTCTGAAAAATGCGCTAGGTCTTATTTTCAGGGAATTCTTATTTTTTCCAGGAAGAAGAATTCACATNATGGCCAATTGGAATGAAACGCACGAATAGGCGCGATAAGACAGTCGGTAACAGGCAACGGCCATACCACGCTGGAAGTACCGGTTCTCGTCCGATCACCGAAGTGAAGCGGCGTCGGTCCCTGATAATACTTCGGACGGAGACGACTTGGGAACACCGAGTGCTGTTGCACTTCTGTTTTGCTCCGTTTTCTGTTTTATCTAATGCCGAAGTGAGCGTTCTGTTCTCTTATTTTTTCTTGCAATCGTCTCGACCAGGCGCGGTTTCATTTTAAACAACTGCCAGTCGTTGTAGAATGCCGAAGCGTCGCATTGTAGTTTCGTGAGCGCGACACACAACGCTCTGCAANTACTAATATTAATATATTGGAAAGTTGACCATCAGTTTTATTCCTCATTAAGCTTGATATAAAGAAAATTACTAATAGGTTTTATATTGTGCACTCACTGATTTATCAACAGTACTGTTTCATTAATAAAACTGTGAGTGCATTGATGTGGATAGAAACAAACACATTTAAAGTAAATTTTTGAAAAAAAACATAAGCATATTGTTAGAATACTTGTATTCCTTGTAATTACTATAGCAATATTTTGGACCTTTAGCTTTTTGGGTTTACATGCAGTAGACTCTTCCATATGCAAACTAATGTGGGCAGGAATGATCTAGATAAGTTAAGTATTGTGTTAAGTTCGTTTTGTTCTCAGGTCCCTTCTGAACTGTTACATTATGCCAATGTCACATCATTATAATGTCAGTCATGGTGGATGCATTGCACACTTCTGCAAATTTCAATGCAACCCTAATAAAAAGGAAGTTAAAAAAATGTACACACTGCAATATGGAATGGTAAGATTCAGAATAATGTACAATATGCTTGGAAATTTTTGCTTGTCTTTGATCAGTCCAGATATGGAAGGTCTACTATATTTTCTTTTATCCATAGAATATTTGGCTGATAAAGTATTAAAAGATTCTCTCATAATATTCAACATAACTCAAGTTTGGTTAATAGAATTTTTCTCTTCTCATGAGGTTCTTTATCTCTTTTCTATAGATAAGAATAATTTTTACTTAAAGAAATAGGCAGACATTCTTTCTTACTAAAAGGTTTGACAATACTATTATAGTATTAACAATAAATCTACGAACATAGAGTGCTAAGTATAACTTCTATTGCTGTCATGCACATACAAAATCCATTTTCAAATGAAATGAATTTATTCTTTAATACTGACACTTCTTTTTTTGTCTTCTATGATTAAAGAAAATCATAGAAGACAAAAAAAGGGTTCCTTAATAATAGAATATAAGATTTCTCTTATTATATATTATAAGATTCGCTTCTTTTTTTGTCTTCTATGATTAAAGAAAATCATAGAAGACAAAAAAAGAAGCGTCAGTATTAAAGAAAATTCATTTCATTTGAAAATGAAGCTTGTATGTGCATGACAGCAATAGAAGTTATACTTAGCACTCTATGTTCGTAGATTTATTGTTAATACTATAATAGTATTGTCAAACCTTTTAGTAAGAAAGAATGTCTGCCTATTTCTTTAAGTAAAAATTATTCTTATCTATAGAAAAGAGATAAAGAACCTCATGAGAAGAGAAAAATTCTATTAACCAAACTTGAGTTATGTTGAATATTATGAGAGAATCTTTTAATACTTTATCAGCCAAATATTCTATGGATAAAAGAAAATATAGTAGACCTTCCATATCTGGACTNGACAATTGCGATTTCATTGTTGTGCTCTTTTTGTTGCGAAGAGTGCGATTCTTGCAAAGTACTTCGAATGCAATGTTTTTCTTGATTCTGGCAATTGTCGACCCTTGGGGTAAGTGACTTTTTCTAATTTCGTTTTTATCTATCCAAGTAAGAAATTCGTTCGCAAAATTTCGTTAAATGTAAATATTTCGACTTTCGTATTGCTTTGTATATATACAACTTTGTGATAACGACGGAGAAAGAGTTTCCGCGATAGGTTTGAACTTAATTTTGACAGGTTAAAGTGTAAAACCTATTCATTCGTAATTCCGGTTCATATCAACAAGTTTATTAAAATTTTCATCAATCTATACGAATTCGATTTCATAATGATGAATGATAGGTTCTTGAATGCCAATATTACTGAGTTTAAAATAACAGCAGTGGATTTAGCCTTAAACAGACCTTAAGCTATGCTTTGTAAAAATCTTTTTACTTGTCTCGAATAAATATCGAAGCCCGAGGCCCTAAGAGACAATTTTCTTTATTTATTAGGTTATAGTTTCATGGCAAATTCTGCCAGTGATTAAACGAAAAGTTTCTTCAGTGTATAATAATTTCTCTAAAGGTTTANAAAGAAAATCATAGAAGACAAAAAAAGAAGCGTCAGTATTAAAGAAAATTCATTTCATTTGAAAATGAAGCTTGTATGTGCATGACAGCAATAGAAGTTATACTTAGCACTCTATGTTCGTAGATTTATTGTTAATACTATAATAGTATTGTCAAACCTTTTAGTAAGAAAGAATGTCTGCCTATTTCTTTAAGTAAAAATTATTCTTATCTATAGAAAAGAGATAAAGAACCTCATGAGAAGAGAAAAATTCTATTAACCAAACTTGAGTTATGTTGAATATTATGAGAGAATCTTTTAATACTTTATCAGCCAAATATTCTATGGATAAAAGAAAATATAGTAGACCTTCCATATCTGGACTGATCAAAGACAAGCAAAAATTTCCAAGCATATTGTACATTATTCTGAATCTTACCATTCCATATTGCAGTGTGTACATTTTTTTAACTTCCTTTTTATTAGGGTTGCATTGAAATTTGCAGAAGTGTGCAATGCATCCACCATGACTGACATTATAATGATGTGACATTGGCATAATGTAACAGTTCAGAAGGGACCTGAGAACAAAACGAACTTAACACAATACTTAACTTATCTAGATCATTCCTGCCCACATTAGTTTGCATATGGAAGAGTCTACTGCATGTAAACCCAAAAAGCTAAAGGTCCAAAATATTGCTATAGTAATTACAAGGAATACAAGTATTCTAACAATATGCTTATGTTTTTTTTCAAAAATTTACTTTAAATGTGTTTGTTTCTATCCACATCAATGCACTCACAGTTTTATTAATGAAACAGTACTGTTGATAAATCAGTGAGTGCACAATATAAAACCTATTAGTAATTTTCTTTATATCAAGCTTAATGAGGAATAAAACTGATGGTCAACTTTCCAATATATTAATATTAGTAATGACCAAAATGAAAGTAAAACTAATCAAATAATTAAACCAAATTTATTATCAGGTTAATTTTGGTTTTAAATATATAAATGCCACATAATTTGGACTAAACATATGTGATTAAATTTTCATTGTGTATAAAAATTTAATAATTATAATTAAATGAATTAATTTAGAATATTTTGGAAGAAAAGATTGATCCATAGTGCTGTTGATTGATTAATGCAGATTTGAATGCTGCACTGGATTGATCTTTTCTTTCAGAATGGAAACCATACAGGTTGTATAAGAAAAAAACAAGTTAAAACATATTATTAAATGCACAATAATAGAACAGTGATAAGTAACAATGCTCATTTCTTTTTATATTAATCTTCTATATGGTATATTATAAATATAAATGAGTGAGTATTCTTGCTCAACAAAAAATTAAATTTGGCATAATATATCCACAGTCTTATCAATGATATAGTTAAAATTACACAAAGGATCCAAAAAGTAATGATTACTTTTGCTTTTATCATTCAACACATTTTCTGACTACATTTTATATAAAGATCAAACATAGAATCAATCAAAAACATTTAAATTTAACTTATGCAAGGAATCAAGGATATGTAAAATTATTTTTAAAAAATTACACAAATAAACTCAGAATAACATAGCAAACACTTCCATATTTATGACACATTCAATGTCAGCATATTGCATGCCTTTTGCAGTTCATTTAAAATCATCTCTGTTATAAATAACATTTTTTGTCTTTCTTGAAAATAGCACACTGGCTCTATTCTACTCGAGCTAATATTTTTTATTTTAACTTAAACTTGGTAAACATTGCTTTGAAGACATGCTCTGTTGAGTTTATTTGTGTAATTTTTTTTATAATTTTAATTTAAATATTTTCAATTCCTCTTGTAAGTTATATAATTTAAACTTAAACACTTTTGGTTGATTCTGTTTGATTTTTATACAGAATGTAATCTTAAGATGCTTTAATAATAAAAGCAAAAATACTCATTAATTTCTGAATTATCTGTATAATTTTAGTTGTATTATTGATAAAACTGAATGTACTGTGCTTTCCTGATATATCATATTATTGAAGTGGAAAATCTCTTTTTTTTAATTTTACATTATTATTTCAATTTCCTTGTATTTCTGTTTCGGAAGTTTTAGTTTTAAGTGTGCTTAGCTTTATTCAGTATCATACACTCATTTTATTGATTAAAAAAAACATATTGTTGAAGTAGCAGATATTGTACAATACTGAAATTTCAATACGTTAATGTACTTTTTTATTTATTTATTCTTATTCTATTCCTACTTTCTATATAAAATTATTCTTAGCAGTTTTATGATTATAACCCAAAAATATTTGATCGGTTTCTTTTTTGTAGCTTCTCTCATATGTTTATTATCTATCATGTTTTGCACTAGAAATAGATCTTATGTGACTTCTACTAAAAGAATTCTATTTCTTTTATAATTGAAATAATTATATATTACTTAACTGTCTTAGCCAACCATCCTCACACTAATAGACTCAGGATCACAGGGCTTGGTTCTGGGATACCTGCAGTTATCAAAATTTGAGGATGCTTGAATTATTATATAAAATGGCATACTATTTGAATATAAGCAACTCAACACCTTGCATACTCTTTCCAGCAAAAAGTTTTAATGGGACAAATGTTTTGGCCTCCCCAAGAGACCTGCCTCAGGTTTCAAACTATTCTAAAATTGAATATTTAACATTGTGTTTGTAGAATAATTTAATTGGTGTCATGTTGCATTTGAGTGTTTTGGAATACTATGTGAAAATTTTTAAAATAAAGTTATGTTATTTGAATGTTTCAATCTGGAATACTCTGTAGAATATTTGATTTTAGAATAGTTTGAAAACCTGACACAGATCGCTTAACATGTTCACGGAGTTACGAGGCATATTATCGTATGGATATGTCTAGCTAGGGTGACAGACATAATTGCTTGATTTTCTGTGGGGCGGCGCATATGTTTTGATAACATAATTCTACAAACATCATACTTGATATATTGATATTATTTTATTAGGTGCAATAAAATATATTAATTTAATAGTATGAGGCATGGGTGACTCGTGCTGGTCCTGTATTAAAATAGACTACGAGTCATTCGTGATGCTTAACACCCAGCATCTGCCTAAACATTTATCTACTAATGCCACGAGCATGTTAAAGAGGCCAAAAACATTTTTCCCATTAAATTTTTAGTGGAAAGAGTACAGGAGGTGTTGAGTTGCTTATTGAGTGTTCCAGCTTCTCAAGAGTATATTTGACCATAACGTACAGACATTCTCCTATATACTTTAAATATCAAACATAGAGGGTACTGTATGCCATTCAGAGGGATCCTACCTTTCTCTTCTGTCTATCTTTTCTCCCTCTTTCTTCCCCCTTTCCCTTACCTTCTTTTCTGCTTGCTAAACACTTTGTGTACGGCCGATGTCTTACTTGTATATGTATGTATATACTTTAAATCATTTTGAGATTACTTAAACACCTAATACAATGTAAACAGTTGTTACACTGTATTATTTAAGGAATAATGACAAGAAAAAAGTCTTTACATGCTCAGTATAGCTGCAACCATCTTAAGCCAAATAACATGATATATGCCAGCAATAATTTAACATTTTCTTTCTTTTAACAACATGAAAGGAAAATACATAGAATATTTAAGATACGATGGTCATTCTAAAAGAAAAGAACATTTTGATCTGACAAGCCGTGCAGTTCTCCCACCACTCTCCACTGCCACGTCATGGACCTTCCCATATTTTCACGCCAGTCTGATGCTAACAGCAAGCCACAATGATCATTTACTGTTTACAGTGTGATTTTGAAATGTGTGACAAAATTAAAGATCCCACCAAGTGTGAAGTACAAAGAGTAATACGCTTTTTGAATGTGAAAAAAGTCCACCCTATCAAAATTTACAGACAGATAACCGAGGTTTATGGTAAAGTGATGAAGGAAGCTTCAGTTTGAAACAAACAGCAGGGATTGTTGTCCAGAGGCATTTTGCTTATTCAGGATAATGCATGTCCGCATGCTGCTGTGTTGACAAAGAACTTGCTTCAACAGTTTAAGTGGGAAGTTTTTGAACATTCTTCTTATAGCCCGAACTAGGCTCCGAGTGATTACATCTTTTCCCAACATTGAAGGATTTTTTAGCCGGGAATCACTATGGAGTGACAACGAACTGAAAGAGGCCATTAATGACTGGTTCAAGAACTTGGTGGTAACTGAGTGTGTAGAAGGCATAGAAAGCTGATAATATGCTATGACAAGTGTTTAAATTTGTATGACGACTATGTAGAAATATAGCTAAGGTATCATATATGTTGTAAAATAAGTTTTGTTTCATGGACGTCATGTTTATCCAGACGTCTTGCGGTTAAATAAAAATATCTAGAAAAACAAACATTCTTTACTTTTAGAATGACCCTCGTACAAACAAATTCGAGTTTTGCTTCTTAAAACTATCTGGATTTTATTTTATTTTACCAAATATTTTTGATCCACAGATAAAGAAGGCCAATTG